ACTTCTATAGCTATACTATACTACTACTATTCATATTTTGCCACATTACCATCTCTTTTATTATGTGGGTCTTGCACAGCTTTAATGTAAATTGACCTGGCTGAAAATTATCACTAGACTGGTAGTAGAGTATTAGAAACATTTCTGTTGTCTGGTAGATGTTCGAAAAAGTAGCCTTCTGAATTTTGTTTCCAATACTGCTTTTAAGAAGTATTTTATGAAATGGTTTGTAAAAAAAAAAAAAAGATATTGTTGGGTTTCTTAATTTATTATTCACGAGTCTTTAATTATTTATAAAAACTAATATGTAAAAGAATAGAAAATAACTTATGAAAAACGGATATAATAAGTCCAAATTAAAAGTTTAGTATTTGAATTTTTAGAGTTTTAGAGTTGCGTGGGATAGATATCGGGATTTTTAATTTTGTGTCTAAAGTCTTGACTTGTTAGATTTTTTTTATTTAAAGATTTATTGGACATTGAAAGTTTAAAAAATCTATTGAATCTTTTTTTTAAAGTTCAAGGACTTATTAAGAATTTTGATGAACTTAAGATAAATAAGCTTTAAAAAGGGGGGAGAACTATTAAAGAATATATATATATATATATATATATATTCCTCAGCAAGCAAAGGCAAAGCAATCACAAAATTACGTAAATTTTTATAATGAAACAAATCACGTGCTACTTTAACACGTAGAAGTCGTTTTTTTCTTCGACAGGTTTCTCACTCCTCCAAGGTTTCATGCCTTACTGGGCCCCAATCTGTCTCTCCTATTTCTCTCATAAGTATGAGATTTAGCATCGAATTATAAATGACGTAGAGTCTATGGACATTAAAATTTATTTATAAAAATAAAATTATAATATGTTAACAAATTGAATATAGTATTCTTGTAATACTGAAAATTTTCTTTATAAATACCCAACACTTCCTCTTCCTTCCTCCCCTTTTCTCTCTCTACTCTCTCTCTCTTTTAGGTTCATTATAGAGCATTAGCATTAGCATTAATGCTTAATATGGGGGAAGAAGATGTTAGGTCGTTTAACTGCGAGATTCCTGAGAACGAGTTCACTCCCACTGAAATTGAAGAGCTTTTGTCTCTCTTTGTGGTGAACGACGGGCCACCGAGTCCCGGCTCCGATTCGCAGGGTTCGAACCGGACCACGGCGACTTGTTCGACCAACGACGACGAGAGGAAGCTGCGGCGCATGATATCGAACCGAGAGTCCGCCCGGCGGTCACGGTGGCGGAAGAAGAGGCATTTGGAAGATCTGAGCAATGAGGTGAACCGGTTGGTGATCGAGAACCAGGACTTGAAGGACCGGCTCGGCCGGGTTTTGAACCGCCGTCAAGTGGTTACGAGAGAAAATGATTGGTTGTGGATGGAGTCCCTGGGTCTTCGGGCCAGGCTTTCGGATCTTTGCCGGATCTTGGCCGCCATGCAATCGCCTTTGGAGAAGTCTACGTAAAAAATGAAAAGGGAAAACGGAAAAAAGAAAAAAAAACAAAAATATTTGCATAGCACTGAGTTTAATAATTGAAAAGGAGGAAAAAAAAAAAAAAAGGTTACAGCCTGAAACGCCCTGTATTATACGCATTGGAAATGAAGAAATTATCAATGCTTTTTTCGCTACTTTTCTTTCTGTCTCTGGAAAAGGCTGTTTCGTTGGGGGAAAGAAAAAAGGTAAATTATTTTCTTTTTGTTTGATTTCTCAATTTTGGTTTCGCGAGACTTCTTCGGAGAGGGAAAATTGGTCTCAAATTTTTGTAATTTAAACCGCATTAGAATTAGCCCAATTTTTAAAGCCAATTTGAACCTAGCTCGATCTTATGAACCATTAGTAGTTTGGATTCTCACTTAATTTTTTTAATTATAAATACTTTAGAAAAATAATAAATTTAATTAAAATGTCTCATATTTATAAAAAAAATATAGTCTATTCACGATTTTAGTTTTGGAACTTTCGAGACAAACTTTCGATTTTTGATACTTAAATATTTAAATATTAAATTGAATATTGACATTTTCTTAAGATAGAACATTGCAAGTTTGAAATGAGAATTATTGATTCTTCAGTTTCTAGAGAATGTATAACTAATTAAGGCTATAACTACTAAATTATACAACAATTGTTGTGATAACTTGATAGTGGGTGACATTAGAGAGCATGCCACGTATAAGTAAACAAAAATCAGTTTAAAATGTATCCATCTATTCACTCCATTAAAATTTTATTTTTGGTTAGTCTGGGCGCTTATTTTATCTAGAGTTTGAATTATTTTTTTAAGGTTTGTGTAGAAAAAGTTTCAAAAAGGTAAATTGTGAGAAGATTGTACCAGTGATATTGTTGACTAATCAACAATTTTCATATATGTATATATAAAATATGTGGATGTAGATTGGAGATTCGAATGTTCAATCTTTGATTAAACATTGAAAATATATATCTTAACTAATTAAACTATGTTCACTCCAATGAGTTGAACTATACTCGAATCTGATCTGTTAGATATTATCTGAAATCCAAAATTTTTAAATAAAAGAATTATAAGAAAAAGGAAGGGAATTTGTAACGTTGTAGGGTGGTGGTATCTTTTGGGCGATGCGTGCACATGATTCACTGAAACCCATGCCGTTGGCTGCAAAATGCATCTCCATAAAATTCTATTTTGACTCCTTTTTTTAATAAAATAAAACCAAACCTTTTTTTTTTAATGTAAAAATATCTGACATCAATGAATTCATTTTAAAAATTAAATAAATAGCCAGTTGTTTGTTTGGAGCCAGTCCTTTTTAATTCAAACACGTCCGTGTTGTCAACGAGAAATTCTTGTGGTCTATCATTTCAATTTTTACAAATACTTTTTTTCCTAACAGAAACTCTCTTTCTCCTTTTTACCCCTAAATAAATTGAAGTTTAAAATATTATTTCGGTCCTTCCACTTTCRGTTTTAATTCGGTTTGATCATGTACTTTTAAAATGTTTATTTCCGTCTCTGTATTTTTAACAGAAAAAAATGGGTCCGGACCTCCCCCGGGAATGATTTGGAAGATCCAAAACAAAAAATAGTGGGATGGAAATAAAGAAAATTCTAAATTAGAAATAGATAAAAAAGAAAAATCTCTCTTCTGGTTTGAAAAACCTCTTGTGACTATTCTAGTTCATTTTAGTCCGCGTTCGTTTAAAATATTAGTTTAGGTTCATCTATTTTTAACAAGTGATTATTTGCAAAATTTTAACGTAAATTTTATACATCATAGAAACCTTTTGATATAAGATCATTGTTACATTTTCTTAAATATATTGAATGTAGTGTCATGTTGAAATAATAATACAAAAAATGAGATAAAATAAAATTAAGGGATCAACATGATCACTTTTTAAAAGTGGAGGGACCAAAACGAATATTTTAAAAGTACAGTAATTAAAATAAACTAAAATTGAAAGAATAAGGACCGAAATGAACATTTTAAAAATACGGAGACCAAAATAAATCGAAACTAAAAGTTCAAGAATAACATTTTAATCAAAATTGAAGGGTGGACAACATAAATCTTTTTCCAATCAAAATATAATTATAGTCTTAAAAATTTAATGCAAATGAGAAGGTATAGTTCTATAGATTCAAATCTACCCTCTTAAAAAAATTAAAATGTACTTAAATAAATAAATAGCGTAAGTTAAAAACTAACTTTGCATTGTAGTATGAAGATTGAAATTGAAAAGAAAATATAATATCATATAAATAAAATTCAAATTAAAATTTAATATAAATTATATTAAGAAAAATGTTAAAATACATCCAGAAATTCCTCCAATTAGCATTTTGTGTGTGTGTGTGAAGCAAGCAACGAGATTGAGTCAATAAATTATTAAAAAAAAAAAAAACTGTAAAGAGTACTGTTGACTATAAGTGGACTTATTTATATTAGGAAATTAGAAAGAAATGCATAATTAAAATAAACATAGAAGGGTGACCTCTATAATAAAATACATGACGTGAAATTAAAAATTTTATTATATTTACTCGACATCTTTCCATGATTTTTTTTTACTCTATCATTCTAGTTCTTAATTTCTTGCGTATTTAAAAAAAATCATGATCTTAATTAATTATTATCATATTTTAAAGAAAATATATGTTTTTATATTTAAATAATTATTGTCACATTCAAGAAAAATATAGAATTAATTTGTTCTTTTAAAATATTTGTACTTAAATAAATATGAAAACCTTTTTTTTAGTAGAAGATGTGAGAGTGGAGATCGAACTCATAACCTCTTGGTCGAAGATATATGCTAATTACCGTTGAGTTAGGATCGTTTTGACTATAAAATCCTTATTAATTCATATTAAACATTTTTTTGGCTGGTATGATCTTATTTATATTTAAACATTTGGTTGTATCCAAATTGAAATATGTGTTCATATTATTTTTTCCAATATATCCTCTCTAATTAAAAAAAAGTAACACTTTAATTAAAAACCAAGCTCATGAACAATTTGAGACTCAACTAATAACAGTAGCTAATAAGGATAGTGAAATCACGGAAGACTCCTTCACAATTTTGATCATCGTACCGTTGACTAATTTTTTCAAATTACAATTTTTGAATTGTTGTACTTCGATGGTAAATATTAAATAAGTAGGAAATGTGTTTGAAAAATAAAGATTTAAAAGATAAAGTTCATTAAGTAAAATTTTTAATAAGGAACTCTAAAATTAAAGGAAGAGTAAATTTTTCTTGAAAAAGAAAAAATTTCACACAAATTTGTTTTTTTTTTTTTTTATAGTTTGAGAGAATAATACATTGAAAGATAAAATATACAATTTATAAAAACTAGTTATCAACACAAACTTTCTATTCTAACAACTAAAAAAATATTTTGAAAAGGCATTCAAAATTGTTGCTCAACTATTTTTTCTATTTCATATTTTCATGTAGTAGATAAAAATCTTTACTTCCTATATTTTGAATTGTATTACTTAAAGAAAGTATTTTGAAAATAGTTTCCACCATCTTTAATTTTTTTAAATATTATTACTTTTTTAACTTAATGTATACCATACTCATTAAAACTAAATAATTTACAAAATAATACTCCAATTTATAATCACCAATCAAAATTTAAAATTTATTATTTTTTAAAAATTATCTCTTCTCACTTTCTACATTATCTCTCTCCTACTCGTCAAGTTTAACAATGATCGGCATAAATATCTTTATCAATCACTAGACCAAGTATTTTCCTAACTTTGGATGTGTGGTTTAACACAATACCACGTGAACGTTCAAAATAACATGACGTGGATCTCATTTAATTTTCCTGATCACACTATGTTTTGATACAATTCAATAAAAATAATAATAAATGAGAAATTAAAAATAAAACAAGTGAAGTGGAAGAAACTTCGTCTCTTTCGGTGAAGGGAATGGCCTCTTCCACCTGTGACTTCAACGAAGGAGCTACTGTGGTTCTTCACTAAGAGAAAATTTCCCTTTATGTTTCCCCTTTTTTATATATAACCAAAAAAAAAAAAAAACAAAGGAGATTTTGTTTTTGTTTTATTGTTTTTTTAATTTTATTTCCTTCTTCCTTTTTCCACCTCAGTTTTAAAGTTAACACAGGGGACATCATCCACGTAGTGTTGCAAATATCCACATGGCACCACCATATTAGCCCAACGTAAAAAATATTCTCTTCAATAATCACACGAAAAAGCTGTCGTTCAAGAGGTAAATTTTCTCATTATCATAACATGTCTAAAATAATAGAAAGATCCAATAAAAATTATTTAGATAAAGCTAGCTAGTTTTAGTCTTACAAAATAAACAAACCCAAGAAGATTCCTATTTCTATCCTAACTTACCTTTATTAGAAAAAGGAAAAATAAATAATGGAACTATGACTTAAAAATGTAAAAGGTATAATTATAATGTATTATAAGCTTTGTAATTCACGTGTAATATAATGCATAGTAATTTATAACATATTATGCAAATAAACTTGTCTTCCTACAACGAACTTAATAGAAAAACCACTAAATAAAATTCACTATATTATCATATTATATTTTCAGCATCAATAACATATCTCTTTGAATATATATAATATCCACTAAAAATAAAAATTCATACAAAATTACAAATCAACAATCCACAAAATCTTTTCTACATCCATGATACATTAAATCTGAAATCTATATATAATTTTATTTAAAAAAAAATCTAAAATCAAGATTAGGAAATCTCCTCCTCTCTTTATCTACACTTTAATCTTTAATTAATTAGAGGATGTATGGTTATAGATACATTACCCTTTGAACAGGACATATGCATAATATATTAGATTTGTAAGCATTGTTACATTGATATATATATATATATATATATATGATTATGATTGGTAGCTTTTTATAATTGATCAATCACTTCAAAAAAGCTAACTTAATTAATTAAAGTTAACA